ATTTCTAAAATTCACCAAAGGAAAAAATGTATGAAATTCTGGCTTCCTTAGTAAACCCGGCCAACAAATGGGTTTCTTATCAATGGACGTAGACAGTTTCATCTCCAAAGGATACATTTAGGGGAACCCTGATCCCCATACGAATGCTTGTTTCAAGGAATAACAAGAGACAAATGAATTATTATTCTCCTATCAACCAAAACTAAAGCGTGATTACATGAATTCAGCATTCATGAAATTCAACAGTGAAAAGGAGGTACGACTCCACCCCTTTCTAGGCGATATCACTTGGTGGCGGTCCATTTGATTCAGCCACCATACTGCAAAATAGATCAGTGCAGTGAACCACCGAACACTGAAGTATAGTATTTAGTTGTACTGAATAAAAATATCTTTTAAAGATATGTGTAAACTTTTCACTTAACTCTTATAATGGGATAATTTTAACCGCTTTCTGAAACTGTACGCTACTTGGCGAGTTATGGAAACATAACAAAGCTTCAGCATGCTTCAGAATGTCATGAACGTAAATGGTAGTATTCTCAACAAATTCACGCCCAGTCAACCAATTTATAAGAATATATATATATATATATATATATATATATATATGCTTCACACTACAAATTTAAATCGATCAGATTCTTATCTTTAATTCCATGATTTACTTCAATGGTCACAACGCGCAATAAGTTCCCCGATCTCTTGAAACATTTCTCATTCCATACACTTTGATCTGATATCATTTCATGTACTTAAAAAAAAAAACCATATGTACCATTATTATAGTAATACTAAAGTTAATTTTGTTTACATACATTGGATAGTGAACAACCCAGTTAATTACATCTTTTTGAACCGTATGGTATGTCTCTTGGTTTACCTGTAGCTGACGTGTGTTCGTTTGGCACGTTTTGGTTAGGATAAGGCCGCGCAATATTCTGGTCAAACAGAGGTGATATCTACGATTCACGTTGGAACGCGTATCGAAATAACATTGTTGGGTACACTCACACCACAAAAGTGGTGAGCTCTAACAAAATATTCACTATCAAATCAATCTACGTGGTAAACCAGATAAATACTTGCTCTTTAGGTAATATGATCAATTGGTGACGTAAACATGAAAGACAAAATTTATCCACAAGAGAAAGTTGATTTTTACTAGGGTGCTGCTTCACATAATACCAAAATTACTCTGACCTAAAAATACTATGGTAAAACATGATAAGGGAAATAACAGAAGCAATTTTTAGAGTCCTAGTCTTCACAGAAAAACGGTTTGTTAACGCTACTAACCATTCATTGGAATTCATAGTCGATACAAATTCAAAAGGAACTAACTTTACCAGTTTATTCTAAAAAGCAGTTTTTAAGGATGCTAAAAGTGACATGATAATGATAAAACCGATATTTCAACAGTCAAATTTGACACTAACTTCGAAAAAATTCTATTTACATCACACTAAGGGATGAAATAAATACTAGGCTATAATATAGACAAACACTTTGCAAAGTATACTCTTCCATCATTTTTATTTGTGTAGAGAAAGGGAAAAATAACCCACTTTCTGCATTGCCGATTGAGCAAAAGCCGGAATAACTCGGTCTTTACAAGTAAGTAAGGAAAAGCCACATCTGTTTTACAGCTACATATGTTTCCTTAACATTATACATCATACACACTCCCTGACGAAAAAGCTTGATAACTTTACTGATATTACTATGTCTTGATGTACCTGTAGCTACGTTATTAGAAGACGAAGATTATCTAAAAAATGTGATGTAGTTGCGCAATACTTTCCGAACAGTCTGATCACACATTTACTTGTCAAGTCAGTTTAGGTATAAAAATGGAAGGAAAAAATAAAGGTCAAACTTAATGAAAATGAAGAGGATATGACACTAGTCTTGATAATGTAATCAGATAAGAATTGCCAAAGTAAGTTAAGTGAAACAACAAATTGTTTCTGTACACACAACAGGGACTTAAGTTACCTGGACTAATGTCATGACCTTTTCATACTCATTATGTTTGACCTTCAATTTTTCCTTCCATTTTTATACCTAAACTGACTTGACAGGTAAATGTGTGATCAGACTGTTCGGAATGTATTGTGCAAATACATCACATTTTTCAGATAATCTTCGTCTTCTAATAACGTTAACGAAGTTTATTAAAAGGAGTAACGCGCATCCTGGATTCCTCTGCTTGCCATACCCAAGTAAATTTCACTTATGGTTAAAAGTAGGAGGATCGGGTCCCATGATCTGATACAAAAAATTTCAGAGTATGTTCATGATATGCTTGATAGTTGGTGGACATTGGTTTGTTGATCTCAAAGGATACATAATGTGCTGATATCTACAGTTTTGTAAAATGGTAGATAGAGAAAGTCGGAAAAACTTGACTACTGAAGATGCCTGAAATAAAAATCCTTTGAAGGGCTTCATTTGGATCATGTATCCACTCAAGTTCTAAACTAAAGACTGCCGTAAGCTTTTAAAGTAGTTTCCGTGAGACGGGTTTCTGGTTGACCAGTAGCTTTTGCTGAAGCAAACGATGCACAGCATACAGGTTCAACTGCTCTGGATTATCTATCAGGAATAATGACAGTCTTCTCACAGGACATATGAAGTAATGAACAGGAAAGAAGTAGACAAAAATCATCAGAAGCCCATTTTCGTTACACCAACCTGAAACTTTATTTATTCAAAGTGTAAAGTTGGTGCAGCATGACTGCATATGTGTTTAAGTACTCTAAAAGCATTAAAAGAAAACCGTGATTTAGAATAACAATTAACGGTGGAAAATTAAATTTTCCATACCCTCACAAACATTCACAAAAATAGCGAGATACACTAACGTTTGTCTACACGCAATGGTTCGTCTAAGAGATGAATTCAGTTACAGACCTTTAACAACTTTGTAAAAGTGATCAACACTAAGGTGGTTGAAATTACATATTATTTTAAGAAACACAGGTAGCTAACTGATTTATAACGATTTGAGAGGTCTAGGAGTTTTCTCATAAGAATATGATGATCGCTCATTGTGAAACATTCTACCCTCTATCTTTCGAAAATCCAGTTAGTTAAACTTTAATTACATCGTGAAACCCCAGCGTTGTTTCTGATTTCTAAGCTACAAGCTGAAATTCTAAAATCCTCCGTGAAAAATAAATTAAATGTTTTACATTTATTTATTCTGGCTGCATGTATGTGATGAAACTCCTATGAAATAATAAGGCATCGTTTTGGTCTGCAAAGTGTCACTATTGTGTTGTTCAAATGTTATTTTTCCAAATTTTATCCTACTTTTAATGCACAAATAATTGTTTCACCTACTAGGTAGTTTTAACCATATATATCCTAACGAATGCTGCTATTCCAAGTTAAAAAATCCCCAACTTTGCCATAAATAAATAAAATAACGCCAATATCGCTTTCACTTCACACGTGGATTTCCATTTCCAACAAACTAGACATACAACATCAACAGCTGCCGCCTACGCTCACTCAATACTGAAGATCAGATGGCCAGAATAATAAGAATAAGCAAGAAGGAACTCACTCTGATCGGCTAATGAACCAACCAAGAACTTATCATACAACAAATATGTAATGGAAGAGAGTGGAGATGGATTGGCTTGGGCATACACTGAGGAGACTGATTGGGGATATCACGTACCAGACCAGGCTGTCGAGTGGAATACAAATGGGAAACGTTGAGTTAGGTGTCGTAGATGAGGGTGATATGGAGGAGATTGTGTGAGGAAGAAATGGAGGTTTGTGGGGATTGGTGGAGCGAGGTTGAGCAGACTGCGGAGGAGAGATTTCAATGGAGATGTGTTACTGAATCCATATGTTCTACTAGGAACCCAAAGGACAAACAATAATCTAAAGAGTACATTAATACTCTAAACTTTTCTGGTGCGACTTGCTGCTGAGGGCCAACGAGTACGAGATCTAGGTTAAAGTATCTCTTTTGATTTATCTCAAACCAGCTTAAAATAATCCATAAAAACCTATCTCCAGATGCCTTAGTTCCCGTTTTCAGGGCTTTAACCATCCCTATTCAGGTTGATACGTGAAATTCATGCTAAATCCTATTATAAACTCAATAACAAAACTGAAGCGGCTATTTTATTCATTTCTGCTTAAACGCCATCGTGTAATGACAGAAAATACCCACAATAAAAAAGCATAATTCAGAGAAGATAGTTTTCTCTTTAAGGTTGGAATTCATTACGGACTGATATCACTTGGAGGAACATTTCAAAACAAAGGAAGCTCTAGCAATCCAACACTGCAAGTATGCTGTTAGTGTTTACAAGAGATACATTCAGTCTCTAATTTTCATTTTGTCTTAATCTCCCCAAGACAGCTTATTCATTTCTGTTTGTTTACTATAATCCCATAAGCAATTTTGATGACCTTGAGGTGACCTTCTAGCCGTTATCACCTGACTTTATTGACCGTTTTCGATGACCTTATATGGACCCATTAGGCATATATATATAGTTGTAACTATGACTACTATGTACATACAGCCTTTTATTAATTTTTAATATCTTCAATTATTTTTTGTCAGTCGCCTAATATCAAGTGAGATGTAATCGAGACCTACTTTTTATTTAGCATATACTGCCACTTCAAACAAGAAATAATTTGGATGCAATTTGTTTGGTGCCTAATCACTATTTTCATGAAGTAGAACGTCTTTTCCCATGGTTTCTGGCATTCGCCAAATCACCCTGGATCAGAAAGGTAGGAGCAAAGCTTTGACGATTGGATATTGGAAATTAAATGCTGAGCTATTGATCGTCTTCTCATGATCATTTTTATTCGCTCTATCGCTAACAGACTTATTCTCATTCCTTTTTTGACATGTCTCACTTACTTCCCTCTGCTTTTATGAATATTTCCCACGCTGTATAATTATTTGCTTGCTTGTTTAGGTATATAGGCATTTTTGCATACTGTTAGATGTATTAAGTATGCATGCCCACGTAATACATTTGATTGAATTATCTAGTGTACAGGTCTGTTCGTCTATCTACTGTATATCGGGCAAGTTTAATTTTACATATACTCTAATCCTAACAGCCAATCCACGTTTCGGCAATGGATGAATTCAGTCTTGTTTAAAAACATTAGTCTTCAAATGCATAAGTCTAGTACTTAAGTTGAGTCTGTGAAGCCCATGATGTGAAATATACATACACAAATGAAGTAGACAATGTCATAGTGGAACAAACTTGGAAAAACTGATATCCCGATGAATTTTACTGTTTAAATCCACTAACTATACACACATAGACTGGAAGAGATGTTCTGGAATTATAACCCTATATTCTTTTGCTGATAATTGTACTGACCACGAACTGTACGCTTACATTACCATCGAGTATAAGAAATTTAAAGGATCTGTTCCAGACTATAAAACAGACACCTTGGAAAATAATTACGGTGATGATAATGATGACCACAGTACTGATAAGAATGAACGTGTACTAGTACCTGAAGCATTTTCCTACTTATCACCGCTATCGAAAGTATCAATTCCAGTCGATTCATCATCTATTTTATCTTTACCAAGTGAAGAAGAAACCCGTCGACTGAAGTTAGCATTAGCCTTGCAAGTTGAGTCTGAGGTTGCCAGAGCCATCCGACTGAAGAATGAAGCAAATAAACTCACTGATCAGTCTGAATTATTAGACAAAGAAGCTCTTGAAGCTCAAAGGTATGCCGTAGTTGCAAGTGAAATGCTGAAGTCATTAAAACAACTGTGGGATGAAAATAATAATAATGCAGCTACAAATGTGAATGATGAAGACAATTATATCAAGGAGGGAGATCTAATAGTGCCGAAAATAAATCATGACTATTTATTAGATGCAGAAAAAAGTAGTGCCATCAATAGTGGTGATCGTAACGTCGACGGAGATCACAGCATAGATAATCACGGTAGCAACAGCAGAAGAAATGAAGAAAGAAGATTGAGTATGCCAAGTGACTATAACCGACGAAAAAGGCGGAAATTTGTTCCGGAATTACAGAAAGAGTCCCATCTCTTAGGCTCTACTAGACATACATACAATTACTTTGACGATAATGATGATTTTAGTGCGCAGGATTTATTGAGAGGTTCCGATCAAAATACAAGACATTTAAGTGAAACAGAACAGTTAACGCTGGAAAAGATACGTTTATTTATTTTGAAGCAATTGATACAGCAAATAAAACATGAAGGAAAACAAACAGACGAACGATATTATCTTAACCACCACCTGACAAGTGACAATGATGATGGTGTTACCAATCGTCATGGTTACCATCAATACGACAGTGATTCTCAGCATTACAATAGGAAACAAGATCAATATGATAGATTTTCAGGCATTGATTTGCAACCTTGGCTAACGTTCAATAGAAAAGGTTACGGTGATGAAATGAATAATAGTGATGAACGAGATCTGTATGGAACAGAGTAACGTTTATTGAAGCCAGTATATTTAAAAGCAGGTGAGAACGAACATACAGTATTGTTTGAATAAACTTATTTTAGGTAATGAAAATGGCTATGAAGAATAAAACCGGAAAATTCAATTCTTGTATTTTCTCTATACATATACATATGAAAAGAAATACAAATCTAATAATGAGTACCAGAAAGTTGAGTTTTTATTTATAATTTTTGTGATCAGTCGACAAGATTTCTATTATTTTGGAGTGAAAAAAAGTTGTTTTTTTTAGGTGGTTAACGGCAGTGAAATAACGATCTGAAAGTAACTATCTGTTCACATTTATATATGTTTCTATGCAGATTTTCACGTACACTTTAAGCTAGAAATGAGGGTAAAGGCCGATGATTCCTTTGATTGCACTCGGTTAGCTGAATACTTTCCAGTATAGGTGATGGAATAACATCACTTGATTTCTCCAGTATGAAATGATAAGTGCATATTACATGCTAGTTGGTATCTACCATTGATGTGTATGTAAAGTCGTAGACCTGCATAGCTCATATCTACAGTAAAGGTTACATCTGAGTTATTTTTATAGTGGTTAGTTACCGGTAAAACAGCATTACTTCAAAAACAGATGATTAAACGGTCATAAATATCATATAGCCACAAACACACTAGTTCCTCGTTTCTACTTAAGTGCTTTGGTCCATTTCTCTCAATGGTGTGATATTTAAGTACACCTTACTTGGTTTTATAGCATTTGGAATATCAAATTTGTTAACTTCAGTTTTTATCGAATGTTTATCTAAGATTCTTTTCGATGTCTGCAATCTTAGTATCTATATAACACTCCATACGACATGGTCTTGGAGGCTTGAATATAGTATTGACACTGCAATATTCTTTGCCTTCATCTGATCCTACTTCACTGTCTGAGTATGCAAAGTGTCCGTAAGAAAATAAACGCAGGGAAGCAATTCTGAAAATTTTAATAATAATGATGGTCAAAAAATGGAGTTTTCAACAACCTTCCTTTCAGATCCATCAAAAGGATTTTCACATCCTCTTCTTCGATTTACTACATCAGGTTTATTGTCTAAAGATATGGATGTTCACACAGTAGCAAGCATAGGTGTCCTGGCACATTTTCTTTTGTTAAAGCTGAGATCTTTCGGAGAACAACATAAGCATCAAAGTCACCTTCAGTGTTGCTTGCGGAAGAAGGTGGTTCGATCTATGCTTTTATGAGTTCTGATTAATATATTATTTCCTGCAGAGGACAGAAGGATAATGCTAAGTTTACTCTGTTTTGTGGGTTCGGTTCCTATGACCTTTGTTAATTGTACTGGTTTTCGAATCATTCTCCCTGGTCTAAATAATAAATAAAAACAATATTTTAATTGTACATAAGCTACAACAGTCACTGGCAAATCATTATGTAAAAGGACACCTTGGTTGATTTCGAAAACCCTTCTAATGAAGACTAAGTTTAAGGAAGTGAAAGAAATCAGCAGATTTTGATAAGTGCGCTTCTATATATTTTTAAGTAGTTTTCATCACTAACTGACTCTGGTTGGAAAACCATTAAAAATATGAGAGCACTGGGCAGTAGTTTTGTCCTAGCTTGAAACTTCTGAGCAGTGTTCATCCACAAACCAGTGAAAGATCAAGTCAGGACAGACATTCCGTTCAGTGAGGACCTAACTGTGTTGAAGTTTGACAGTCCATCATTTTCTACTTCTGCCGATGTGCGATATACCGAAACTATCTTCCAATGTTATCAGTCACTATCTGCCTTACTAACAAGAGTCCTCAACTAGGACAAAACAGTAATAAATTGCTGTGAGACTTTTAGTGTTTTCGTATATAAATTTAATCCATGACTGAAATAATTTTAAAATAAATAAATCCTTACCAACCACCACCTGGATTTCATCATTCCCATCGACTGTATTTTCGTAGTAGTGTTTGTTAATAGTTGTCAGTGAACTAAGGACTTGAATTCCTTTCTGTTTAATATAAAAGACTGGTTTTATTTGAATTATAGTGAACTCTGGCCGGATCACTGTACCTTGGATACATTTTAAAGACATGCATGCTCAGCTGAACTAGTACTAGTTAACAAATCAAGACTGAAATGACCAGACAGCAGTTTCTTTCCGGTTCGTCATACAGCCTTTTTTGAAACCTTAATCAATTTTAGGTTAGTTCATCTTGGATCAGATTATGCAGGTGTTTGTATTACATCTAGCCAATAAATGATTTATTTATGACCCACCTAAAGCTTAAATTATCTGAAATAAGTGGAAAGGGTTAGTTTAAGAAGTCTCAAGTAATTCTACAAGAAAAGATGCTTAACTTTTGGTCAGCACTGATCAGAAGATAAGATGCATTAGGATTTCTATTAAGTGGTCGTTGATGTTCACATTTGAGTGAACGTGAAGATGCTAAATGTATTATCATTTTGGAAGCTACCTACTGCTTCACTGAAAAGCGAAGTTTTTTTCTTTTTCTCAACTTGGCTCAATTTCTCTGTTATAATCTCAGTCTCGAAGGCTAACGCGACTTATCATCGATCACTAAGAAATTGTCCTGGTTTGGCTAACCTTATCTCCAACATATCTGGTTCAGTCATCTCTTAAAATTCTAGTAATAAATTCTCATAACGCCTACAATACTAGTATAAACAAACTGTATATTTGAACCGTCGATAGGCACTGCTAATAACTACACTGTAGGTTTTATAAGTCACATTGGCAGGAAATTTAACTGTTAAATTTTGATATAGTCTTACTCACCATAAAGTTATCCTTACATATCGTTCAAATTGCATAGATAAGTTTACAGTCTTTGGAGTATGTGACGTTGTGTGGTCGATAATGATAAAGTGTATTTACTCCTTTTCTTTAGATATTTTTATAACACCTATGAAAACTTGCTTAGGGCTTACACTTCATTAGACAACTTTCTCCAGTTATTCAGAACATCCCTACAGAATACCCATCAAAATGAATGGTTTGCCATGCATATTTATCACCTTAATCAAGCACTGAATAATTCATAGAAGAACTGGTTAGTAAAATCCTAATCGGTTTTTAAATAAATGCCTAAATGTATAAATCCTATCCGAAGGGTTCATTAGCGGACTTCGTGGCGTCATGCTATTCTAAGATGAATAACAGTACGGAAGTAATAATCAGTAAGATATCACTATATATCCGTCAGGATGAATCAAATTCAAGGTCCAAGACATAGTTAATCTGTTAAAAAATGAAGACCAATTTGCTTTTAGATTCCATTTTGTTTATCAGATAAGCTGTGCTGACCACATGAGATCATAACAGTAAATATTTTGAAGGTTCTTTTCAGAGCTGATCTATTTTATGAAAAAAAGGATTTAAAACTTCGGAAAGAGTTCACTGGGAGCAGTCGTAGTAAGGTATAAAAAACATGATGGGGAACTTATTATTTCAAAAAGTCATTGAAAAGTAAATGGGATGATCAATTTACATATGGTCCGCTAAACATTTCTGGCAGCTGAGTAGTTTTCCAACTAACTGTGGTATCAACAGGGTTTCCGTAGAAAACCAACAAGTCAAGATCACAAGGTGAGATCTCTGACACAAAAAGTGCTACTAACTAACGAAATATACTACTAAACAACTTGAGAAATCACAAACCACTCACGCTGATGAGTCAGATCAGAGTGATCTAATCATAGGATGGCCGTTTCGCTGGTTTTGGGTACACTTCTGGTGGGCTCTACAGATCAGCATGAGTAGTTTGTAACTACTTATGTTTTTAAGCAGTGTACTTATATTAACTAATTCACAATGTTGTGTATATCTGTTTGAAATAAGACGAAGACGATATCAGAAACTGTTCAATATGACATATGGTTGTTTATTGTTTTCACTTTCTTTAGTTAGAATATAAAAGTATAGTATCCAAGCTATGCAAAGCAGCTTTGGTACATTGGACATGCCCTAGCACTCTATTTTAGGATTCTTGAAAACGGGTTTCTCATCAGGTGAAGGATTAATAATGAACTACTGACTGCATGTCGATTGTCTGGGGTTTTCCAAAATAAGTTAAAAGAATTGCACTGCTGTTTTTGCTTCACAGATAACAATTTGTTTTGACACCCCTAACCTAAATGCAAGTTTATATATAAAGATCCCATGACAGTATGAAAAAAACGTTTGTTTTCCCTGGGCGTTTGATACTTCTTCAAGCAATCTGGCTTCATTTTGAGCATTCAACATAGGGCATCCAAGTTGTCTCAACTGTATGGTACTACAGTTACAATTATTTGTCCCTTGGGTACCTAGTAGAACATATGGATTCAGTAACACATCTCCATTGAAATCTCTCCTCCGCAGTCTGCTCAACCTCGCTCCACCAATCCCCACAAACCTCCATTTCTTCCTCACACAATCTCCTCCATATCACCCTCATCTACGACACCTAACTCAACGTTTCCCATTTGTATTCCACTCGACAGCCTGGTCTGGTACGTGATATCCCCAATCGGTCTCCTCAGTGTATGCCCAAGCCAATCCATCTCCACTCTCTTCCATTACATATTTGTTGTATGATAAGTTCTTGGTTGGTTCATTAGCCGATCAGAGTGAGTTCCTTCTTGCTTATTCTTATTATTCTGGCCATCTGATCTTCAGTATTGAGTGAGCGTAGGCGGCAGCTGTTGATGATGTATATCTGTAGTTTGTTGGAAATGCACTTTGTAATGCACCAAGTTTCTCAACCACCACAAAGCAGCACTGGCTTGACATTGGTGTTTAAAATCGGGATCTTATTCACGCTTTATGCTGAGTGTAGTGTAGTGTAGTGTAGTGTAGTGTAGTGTAGTGCAGCGCAGTGCAGTAGATCTCCACACTGATTACTTCAGATTATTGAAGGCCTGTCTTGCTTTTCCCATGTTGGCTTCGACATCCTCCCTCATCTGTGCCGCCACCACCTCCTGTAGTTGAAACCATGCCTCTTACACAGGTAGATGAAACAGA